TGGAGGAAGGAATGACTGAAAATAGGGGTTATCTGCAGAGAATACTACAGTTGGTCCATCAGACAGCTGAGGAAAAAGACTCACCTCAGTCAGTCCGGAGTCAACCACCAGCAGCTGCACAACAAAACAAAGGTGAGGGTAAGCAACCATGCTTAGTTACGGTTCTTAGTGAGCATGAGAAGTATACTTTTCAACCTAATGAACCAGGGATATTAGTTGCTAAACCTGTGGGGTTTACTGGTCCTTTACCTTTTAATCAGAAATTGCAAGAAGAAAATATTATGGGTAGTTCGAGTGAGATTAAAATGGACAGTAAAGGGTTATTTGGGAGTTCAGGGCTTATTGTACCTAGACCTAAATTGGAGCTACAGATGTTTGATGGTAGTAATCCCAGAGGATGGGTTAAAAAATGCCAAAAATATTTTAATCTTTTGGGAGTTCTTGAAGAACAAAAAGTGGATGTGGCTGCAATGTATTTAATGGGAAAAGCTGAGACATGGTTTGATGGATATATTATGCAGAAGCATAGAGTAACTTGGCATGAATTTGAGGCTGATTTGTGTTATAGGTTAATAAGTTGATGCAGAAGGGTAGTGTAGAGGAATATCAGGAAAGGTTTGAGGAGCTAAGACCTTACTTACTGCAACAAAATATGTATTTGGGGGAAGATTATTTTGTTTCCAGTTTCATCAGTGGTCTCAAGGAAGAATTAAAACATAAAGTGAAGGTGTTAGAGCCCAAGAAATTATCTGAAGCCTACAGACAAGCAAAGTTGTATGATCTAGCTAATGAAATCGAAGGAAAGAAGTACAAATCTTTTAACAAATTTTTTTACACTTCTTCAAGTAGTCCACAAGGCAGTGGGAATAAAGGTTTCCTACCTAAGACAATTCCTCCTAATAGCAATACAAAGCAGAGTTTGGTGGAATATAGGAGGGCACATAATTTGTGTTTTAAATGTGGGGAAAAATTTATTCCTGGACACCAGTGCAAAGATAGACAGTTAAACTTCATGGAAGAAACAGAAGAATTTGCTGAACAGGAGTTGATTGAAGGAGAACATGAGGAAGTGGAGGAAACAACAAAGGAAGCTTTGGAAATCTCTATTAATGATATTACAGGTAATGTGGGGCATACTACCTTGAGAATTCAAGGGTCCATTAGGGGTAAACCTATTAATGTGCTGATTGATAGTGGCAGCACTCATAGTTTTGTGACTCCTAAGTGGGCTAAAGGAGTAGAGGTAGTTAATACTCACCCACTGGTTATCACAGTAGCTAATGGTGAAAAATTGTTTAGTATTGCCAGGAGCAATAAGGTGAGTTGGAAGATGCAAGGTTATGAATTTCAGCATGATTTCAGTGTATTGTCCTTGGGAGGCAGTGATATGGTGTTGGGGGTAGACTGGATGGAGGAATTTAGCCCTATACTGATGGATTTTAAGGCAAAAACCCTTAGTTTTGAGAAAGATGGGAAGTATGTAGTGATTAGAGGTACTCAAAAATTACCACTAATCAGACCCATAACAGGTGAAAAATTTCAGAAATTGGTGGAAAAAGATACTGAATTAACTGGAGAAATGTATTTGTTAAGTGCTGAAGTGCAAGACAGTTTCATTCCTCTACCTCTACAGGAATTATTGGCAGAATTTAAGGAAGTATTTGAGGAACCAAAAGGGATGCCTCTTAAGAGAAAGCATGATCATGCTATTGTTTTGAAACAGGGAACACAACCAGTCAATTTGAGACCCTATAGATTTCCTTATCATCATAAGACTAAAGTGGAAAAGCAGATTGTTGAAATGTTATCCTCTTCTATCATACAGGTAAGTAAAAGCCCTTTTGCTTCTCCTTGCTTGCTTATTAAAAAGAATGATGGAACTTGGAGATTTTGTGTAGACTATAGACAACTTAACTTTGCCACAGTTAAGAATAAATTCCCTATTCCTATAGTAGAAGACCTATTAGATGAACTGCATGGTGCTACTTTCTTTTCAAAGGTTGATTTGAGTTATGGGTACTGGCAAATCAGGATTAAAGAGGAAGATATTCCTAAAACTGCTTTTAGGACTCACCAAGGGCATTATGAATTTAAGGTGATGCCTTTTGGACTTACTAATGCCTCAGCTACTTTTCAAGCTTTGATGAATTATCTGTTTGGGGCTTATTTAAGGAAGTTTGTTCTTGTATTTTTTGATGATATTCTGGTTTACAATGCTAGTTTGGCAGAACACAAACAACATTTGAGAATTGTGTTAGAGATTTTGTTGAAGAATAAGTTATATGCAAAGAAGAGTAAATGCTTTTTTGGGCTGCAACAAGTTGAGTATTTGGGGCATCTCATTTCAGCTAAGGTAGTGGCAATTGATCCTGCTAAAATTAAAGCTATGCAACAATGGCCTCTTCCTAAGAACCTGAAAGCTTTGAGAGGGTTCTTGGGTCTCACAGGGTACTATAGAAAATTTATTAAAGGGTATGGAGAATTGAGTAAACCTTTGACAAATATGTTGAAAAAAGAGGGATTTCATTGGTTTACAGAAGCCAAATAAGCTTTTGAAAAATTAAAGGTGGTTATGTGTGAAGCTCTTATTTTGGCTCTACCCAATTTTGAACAGAATTTTTTTTAGAGACTGATGCTAGTTCAAGGGGAATTGGGGCTGTTCTATCTCAGGCAGGCAGACCTATAGCTTTTTGAGTAAGGCTTTGGGTCCTAAGCATGCAGATCTTTCTATCTATGAAAAAAAGTATTTGGCTATCTTGATGGCAGTATCTCATTGGAGACACTACTTGGAGAGTGGATCTTTTGTGATCAAAACAGATCATGAACCCCTAAAACATCTTCTAGAACAGAAATTAACTATAGCTATACAGAAGAAGGGTCTTACAAAGTTACTTGGGCTTGATTATACCATTCAGTACAGATTGGAAGTTCATTAAAGGAGTATTATATTATAGAAACAAGATATATATTGGAAGCACAGGAGACTTTAGACAGAAGATAATTGTGGCTTTACATGATTCCCCAGAAGGAGGACACTCTGGTATTCAAGCTACATACCAGAGACTTAAATCTTATTTTTTCTGGCCAAGAATGAAGATTATGACTCAAGAACATATCAAGCAGTGTGATGTTTGTCAGAGGACTAAAGTTGAGCATATTCCTAAGCTTGGATTATTACAGCCTATTTCAGTTCCAAATAATGCTTGGGAGGTGATAACAATGGACTTTATTGAAGGGTTACCACCTTCAACAAAGTACAAGTGCATTATGGTGGTGATTGACAAATTTACTAAATATGCTCATTTTTTGCCTTTATCTCATCCCTATACAGTGGTGGAGGTTGCTAAAGTGTATCTGGATCAGGTTTATAAATTGCATGGTCCTCCAAAAGTTGCTATTTCTGACAGAGATAAATCTTTCACCAGTTTATTTTGGCAGGAATTACTTAAGCAACTAGGGACAACTACTTATTTTAGTACTGCCTATCATCCAGAAACAGATGGTCAGAGTGAGAGACTCAACCAGTGTTTGGAGCAGTATCTAAGGAGTATGTGTTTTCTCAAGCCAAGTTCTTGGTCAAGGTTGCTTCCACAAGCTGAATTGTGGTATAATACTAATTATCATACAGCTTTACAAATGACTCCATTTGAAGCATTATATGGGTATAAGCCTCATAATTTAAATTGGTCAGGGGAATCAAGAGTAGATGCAGTACAGAATATGATGCAACACAGGCATCAATTGAATATATTCCTACGAGAACAACTATTCAAAGCAAGCAATAGAATGAAGCAAATGGTGGATAAAAACCGCATTGACAGGGAATTTCAGGTAGGTGATGAGGTTTGCCTCAAACTTCAACCGTATCGACAAACATCTATGGCGTTGAGGAAGAATCTAAAACTTGCTGCTAGGTTTTTTGGTCCCTACAAAATACAGAAGAGAATAGGTCAAGTTACGTATAAACTTGAATTACCACCAGAATCAAAGTTACATCCGGTGTTTCATGTAAGTTTGCTTAAGAAAAAAGTAGGGAAGCAAGGATTGACCTCAATAAATCCTCCGGATGTTGCATCGGACGGCCAACTTAAAGTTTACCCAGCCACGGTTTTGAATCGACGAGTGGTAAGAAGACACAATCAAGCAGTCAATCAGTTTCTTATCCAGTGCCTGAACATGGCTCCCACAGATGCCACTTGGGAAGATGCTACAGTACTGAAGACTCAGTTTCCCGATTTTGATCCTTGGGGACAAGGATCAACTAATGGAGGGGGTATTGTCACGATGGAAGATGGGTTAGGGTTTGAAGGTCTAGATTTGGGGAAAGTTCGAAGAGAGGAATTAGGGAAACAACAGCCGAATTTGGGAGAGGAACGGGTGAAATTAGGGATTGAAAGGGGGCTAGGGATTGATATGTTATCTGAGTAATTGGAAATTAAAGTGAAGCAGGGGTTGGGTTACGGGTCTGAGATACGGGCTGGTATAAGGGTTGCATAGTTGGGCTTATTTTGATTTAACCCAACTAAGTTGTATTTGGGTTTATATGTTGGGACGCGATTTTGTTAGATGAAATCAGGAGAGAGATGGAGGAGGGTGAGTCAGCATGCTAGACAATTATTTTGTTATACAGCGGGTACTTGTTGATATATAAATTGTACCAAACCCTTTTAGGGGAATCTAATGAATGAATTGCAAGTTTTCTGTATCTATTTCTATCTCATTTCTTAAATCCCTAAAAAATTCTCTACTACTCGATCCTAAAACATAACACAAACCTGCCATAATACTAAAAATCCTCAACACATTTTTAACATTCTTGATCTGAGTTAAAGAGGCTTGACAAAAAATGATTAAGTCATCGGCGAACTGCAAATGAGACAACCTAGTTAAATTTTCCGATTTCCCAAAAACAAAGCCTTGGAACAAACCCCTGTCGACTGCTTTAGAAATCATCAAGCGGAGCATCTCACCTATGATGTTAAATAGGAGAGGAGAGAGACTATAGCCTTGTCTAAAACCTTTGGCCATAGGAAACTCTTCCGAAGCAGACCCATTAACGAGTATTGAGATGGAGGTTGTTGAAAGGCACTGAGAAATCCACGAGGACCATCTATTCTCAAAACCCATCTCTGTCATTGCTCTAAATAAATTGGCCATTCCACAGAATCGTAAACTCTACGAAAATCAACCTTTAGAACAATCCCTTGCAACCCTTGTTTTCTCCAATAGTCAATTCCTTCATTCGCAATAAAAAGCACAATCCAACAGCTGTCTCCTCGGTACAAAAGCAAACTGGGACTGACTGATTTATATCCCCAACACAGCAGCTCAATCTCTTAGATAAAACTTTATAGAGGATCTTGTAAAGACTGCCTACAAGGCTAATAGGTCTAAAATCCTCCACGCTTTCCGGATTAATCTTCTTCGGAATAAGCGTGATAAACGCATGATTAACCCCATGTTCCCATTTCCTGCCCAAGTAAAAATCCTGAAAAAACTTCATTACATGCTCCTTTAAACTGGGCCAACATTTCTTGAAAAAACCCCATTGTAAAGCCATCCGGACCTGGTGCTTTAGAACTGTCCGATGAGGTTATCGCTTGCCATACTTCCTGTTCTAAGAACTGCTCCTCTAATTTCTTAGATTGGTCCCCTGTCAGTTTTGTAAAATCCAGAGATAGATCTTCTACTTCCATTGTTGACTTGAAATTGTAGGCTTTCTTAAAATACTCTGCAATATGCAATTTGATCATTTTCGGATCTGAGACCACATAGCCATTGAAGCTCAAACTTGTGATTTCATTTCTTTTACTTCTGTTTAGTGCAGACAAATGAAAAAATCTTGTATTTCTGTCCCCATCCTTAATCCATCTCGCCCTTAATTTCTGAAACCATATGCTTTCTTCAATCCTATACAGCCTCCAAAGAAAATATGTGTATAGCGATGTATATAATGGTTGTTGCGAACCTTGCTTAAATGGAATTTATACTGGTTTTGAAGAGCTTGTTGGAATGGCTTAGAAAGCTTCTTTCTGTGCTCATTTTTTTTAGAAAATAACTTTTTTTATGTATTGTCACTTGCAACCTCCTAAAATTAAAGCATTTATTGATAAAGTGATCCAAAGTCCATTACAGGATATAGCAATACCTCTTTCAGACTTTCAATGGGAGTACAGTAAGGTGATTTTTATATCATTTCTCTTGTTTACCATTTATTTTATTTTTTCTATTATAAGTTTCTCATTCACTTAAAAGCCATCAAATGAACTTAGATAGAGTGGTGTCTGGAGGTGGATCGTGGGTTGCATTCGTTGACAATCTTAGCAGGAGAGGGCATAGAAGTGTATTATGGGATCGTTTTAGCCTCTATGGTAAGGTGATTAAATTTTTATTCCGTTTGTTAATAGAAGACCTCATTATAAGGATAAGACGTTTGCCTTTGTGCATTTTGCGAGTAAGGAGGATTTGATTAAGGCTAAAGAGAAGATGAACAACGTCCTAGTTGATGGGAGGAGAATATTGGTGTCATATGCAAAATATCAGAGGAGCAGTTTTCCGAGGAACTTGAAGCGCAATAGTGTCGCAGAGGCTGCAGGTGTAGGTGTAGAGATATCGAAAAGGAAAAATGCATCTAGCCAAGTGGTTGAGGCAGGGAAGAAGGAGATGATGAACAAGTTCCATGATGGCAGAACATATAAGGATACGGTAGTAGGTTTGAAAAAAGTTGAGGGGCAGCAATCCAAAAACCTTGGTGATAAGAGAGAGGAGAAGAAGCCTTTGGATTTCTTCATTCCAATGGAGGAAAGATCATGGCTGAGGTCGTCTTTAATAGGTATCGTTAAAGCGATATTTGTGGTTGAATTTATGCAAAGGGCATTGAGAACTAAAGGAATCAATGTCAAGGTAATTAGATGGGGATATGCGAAAAATGCATGTTTGACAGTATTCCAGTCTGTGGAGGAGAAAGAAGCAGCATTAGAAGATAAGTGGGAGGCTTTGTCTTTTTGGTTTGAACGGTTGGAGTCTGTGATAGAAGAGAGGGGTGTTCTATTACCTTATTGTGCAGTATCCATGATGGGCGTTTCATTAAATTGTTGGTCAGTTCCATTTTTTACTAGTTTGGCTTCGAGATGGGGCAAATTAGTGAAGATTCAAGAGCAGACAGCTCAAAGAGTTGATTGTAGGGTGGCTCAGATGTTATTAAGGGTTGAAAGTTCGTTTGACATCCCTCCACATGTCATCATTAATACTTATGGAAGGTCCTTTACTATCAAGATTAAGGTAGACAGCAGCGATGATTTCTTCCCTGAGCTTGAAGCTGGGGTTGGTGATGATGGGGTTGATGAAGATGGTTTTGAAGGAGGATCAGTGGATCATTGGGAGGAGGTTTCATCGGATGGGAGCAAATGTGAGGATCGAGGAGGTCTGCAAGGGCAGTTGAATTTCCAGCAGTTGTCAGACTCTAGGAACAGGGCAGAAGAGTGGGTTCGAGGTACCTCACAAGGAGGTGGTTCAATGAACGAGGGAAATTTGAAAAAAAACACTGAAGCCAATGATAGTTTTAATGTTGACCTTTGTACCGAGGGGACAACACTAGGTGAAGGTCTCAGCAAGCAGACTGTGTCAGGGGCCTTTTATGATGGGTGAAAAAAGGTGGCCAACTTAGAAGGAATCACCTCGGGGAAAGATAAAGTGGCTCTAGTTGATGGGCTGATTTCCAGCAACGGAATGATGGAGGTATATGGGCCTGAGCAGGTTAGTTCAACAGTAAACAAAAATGGGAATATGAATGAAGCTTTTAGATCAGCTACATAGGTTGAAAATGGTATGCAGTATGGGTCTGTATCATTGTCCCAGCGGCGTCCTTCTGGGAGGAGTGCGTCGGTTAGTAATGTTGAAAGAGGCTTTCATAACAGAGTTTATGTTAGGAGGTGGAATGCTAAAAGTTGTGGTGGTAAGGACGATGTTATGGGAGCAGGAGATGAGAAATAGGGGAGGACAGAAGCAATGGAGTGTTGGAAAGTATCAAATTTGTCGGGTAAAGTTTAAAGGAGGAGAAAAAGAATTCGTGACCAAAGTTGCTCCTTTGGTGAAGTATAGAGATGATTGAGGGGTGGTAGTTGGTTCAGGGGTTAAGGTCATAAAATGAATTTGATGATAGAATGGTCCATTATGTGTTTGAATGTTAGGGGTCTGGGTAGGAAGGTTAAAGCTAGAGCTATTCGGAGATTTGTTGAGGAGAAAAAATCGACTATCTTATTTCTTCAAGAATCCAAATTAGAAGTTGTTAGTACTATGTTAGGAAGGAAAATGGGGGGGGGGAAATCCTTAATGGTTTGGTTGTCGTGCCTGCTTTAGGTTCGATTGGAGGACTAATAACAATGTGGAATCAGAAGGTATTTGTAGTTAAGGAAAAGGTCATCCAGACTAGATTTGTGGCATTAAAGGGATGGATGGATGGTATACCAAACATTTGTTGTTTCATAAATGTCTATGGTCCAAGTGTGGAGGCTGATAAAGAGCCGTTTTTCAGAGAGTTAACTTCGTTTCTGGAACAGGTAGACTGTCCAGTGTGCTTAGGTGGATATTTCAATGCCCTTTTGACTCAGGAAGAGAAAATGGGTGGTGAGGTGAATGTGGTTTCGATGAATAATTTTTGAGATTTTGTTTCGAAGGAAAATTTAATTGATTTGCCTTTAGTGGGGGGTCAGTTCACGTGGTGTAATAATAGGGAAACTCCCACTTTTGAGAGATTTGATCGGTTTTTAGTTTATCATAGTTTTTTCTCGCAATTCCCAAAGATCAGTCAAACTTTGCAGCCTCGGTCCATTTCTGATCATAACATTATTCTGCTGGAGAATAGGGAATGTAATTGGGGGCCGAAGCCGTTTAGACTGATTGTTACTACAAGAAACAAAACTGAATGTGTGTAGAAGTGGATTAATGAGAAAGCTTGGGGGTAATCTGCTCAGAGGTAGTTGTGTTGTTCCAGCTGATGGTTCTGCAGGTGGTTTGTGGAATGAGAACCTTTTTGAGGTCAGGGATCAGCATAACCACAGTAGGTTTATGGCACTATCAGGGAGGTTCAAGATGAGCAATTTTGAATGCGTCATTATTAATGTGTATGGTCCATCAGTAGAGGCGAAAAAAGAGGAATTTTTCAGGGATTTTCTGTGTTTTGTGCAAAGTTTGAATATGCCAGTTTGCATGGGGGGATTTCAATGCTTATTTGGTTCCTGAGGAGAAATGTGGATTCACACAAAATTGGCATTCGATGGAGCTGTTTAGGTCTTTTATTCAGTTATATAATTTGATGGATCTACCGTTAGTAGGGGGAGATACACATGGTGTAACAATAGAGAGGCATCTACTTGGGTAAGGCTTGATAGATTTTTGATAAGTGGTTCATTTTTAAATCAATTCCCTAATGTGATCCAAAAAATGCTTCCCAAATCCTTATCGGATCACAATCCAGTTCTGCTCGTAGAAGAATGTAATAATTGGGGTCCTAAGCCATTTAGGTTTTACAATTACTTGCTGGAGGAAGATGGGTTTGCTGGGGTGGTGGAAAAATCAGTTTCAAATCCGAGGAAGGTTAATGGTGGTAGGGGTTTGTTTTCACTTCTTAGAGGTACTAAACAGGTCATTAGGAATTGGCCAAAGAGTAATTACAGGGGACTCTGATGATATTTCAGAATTGGAAGCAAGAATTAATGGACTGGAATTGAAGATACAGGGAGGGGGGATTTCTTCCCAAGAAAGGGAACTGCTTGTTTGTTCGAGGAAGGAACTGTGGAATTTGCATAGGAAGGAGGAGAGGATTTGGCTACAAAGGTCCAGAGTGAAATGGAGTATTGAGGGGACAGAAACACAGTTTTTTCATCTGTCTGCACTGAATAGGAATAGAATTAACACCATTTCATCATTGAAGGTAGCAGAGGACGTTATTTCAGACCCGAAAAAGCTGAGAGGCTTCGTTTTTGAGTATTTCAAGGACAACTATAATTCGAAATCTACCTTACAGGTGGATGGAATGGACTTGAATTTTGCTAAACTGACGGATGAGCAAAAAAACATTCTTGAAGTTAAAATCTCATAACAGGAAGTGTGGGAGGCGGTTTTTCACTCGGATAGTGCCAAAGCACCGGGGCCAGATGGTTTCACCATGGGTTTCTTTAAGAAATTCTGGTCAACTTTGAAGCCTCATATTACGAAATTTGTTGAAGATTTTTATAACGGAAGGAATCGGGAGCATGGGGTCAATCATGCATTTCTTACATTGATTCCCAAGATCAGAAATCCTGAAAGTATCGAAGACTATAGACCAATAAGCTTAGTCGACAGTTTGTATAAAATAATTTCTAAAATCCTATCTAGAAGGCTTGTGTCTGTTATTAAAGATTTAGTTAGTCCATCACAGTTTGCGTTCATTCCTGGAAGACAGTTGCTGGATTGTGCCTTTTTGGCTAACGAAGTTATTGACTACTGGAGGAAAAAAGGGAGAAAAGGTGTGGTCTTCAAAGTGGATTTTCGAAGAGCCTATGATTCGGTGGAATGGCCGATCTTGTTGAGACTTCTGAGAACTATGGGTTTTAGAGATGGGTGGATTTCATGGATAGATTTGTGCATTTCCTCAGCCTCTATCTCAGTTCTAGTCAATGGTTCTCCGACTAATGAATTTAAGTTGGGGAAAGGGTTGAGACAAGGTTGCAATTTGTCTCATTTGTTGTTTAATATTGTTGGGGAATTACTGGATTTAATGTTGATTAAGGCTGCAGATTGTGCTCTGTTCGAAGGGTTCAGTGTTGGTAGGGAGGATAATTTGTTTCATTTGAAGCACTTGCATTTCGCAGATGATTTAATTCTATTCTGCAGAGACTCATCTACTCAGATTCTGAACATTAGGAGAGTATTGAGGATTTTCAGTTTAATGACAAGCCTCCATCTTAATTTGTCCAAGAGTAAGTTGTTCGGTGTAAATTTAGATGATGATGTTCTAAAGGAATGGGCTCAAAGTGCAGGATGTTGTGTGGGGGCTTTTCCTATGACATACCTTGGGCTACTGATTGGAACTACCAGAAATTCAGAATTGTTGTGGGAACCAGTACTGCAGAAGTTCAGCAGCAAATTAGCAGGCTGGAAAGCTACTTCATTATCGATGGCAGGGAGATTAGTGTTGGTGAAGTCTGTTTTGTCGTCCTTGCCTATTTTTTACCTTTCGATTTTCAAAATTCCCTTAAAGATAAATCAGAAGTTGAATTCTTTGATGGCTAATTTTTTGTGGGGGGATAGTCCTATGAAGAAACGGATTCATTGGGTAAATTGGAAAATGGTGTGTCAACCGTACGAGGAGGAAGGCTTGGGAGTTTTGGACTTGTCTTTGACTAATAGAGCGTTACTTGGGAAGTGGGTTTGGAAGTTTGCGAATGAGAAAGATTCACAGTGGAAGAAGATGATCTGTTGCAAGCACAATATTAGTAACTTGTCTCTATCAATTAATAAAGCTACAAATCCTCAAGATTCATGGATATAGAGAGGAATTCGAAATAATTATGAGAAGAAGGATGGTATAGGGAATTGTTTGAGGTCAAATTCAAAGATTCAAGTGGGGAATGGTAGATCAATTGAATTCTGGAATGATGTTTGGGTTAATAATTCTACTTTAAAAGAACAATTCCCTAGGATTTATGCCTTATTGATTAATAAAAGGGGATTAGTTGAGGACTTTGGCTGTTATGAAAACAATTGTTGGGTTTGGAATATCCGATTAAGGAGGAATTTATGTGACTGGGAATTGGAGCAATGGATTTCTCTAATGACTTTGATTGATAATATTGTTTTGATTGATTTAGTTGAAGATTTTTTATGTTGGTCAGGGAATGGAGATGGTTTGTTCTCAGTGAAGGCTTGCAAATCAGCACTTACACGTAGGTCTGGTGGGATTTTTCAGTGGAATAAATGGGTTTGGACGGGATTGGCTCCTCCGAAAGTTGAAACGTTTTTATGGCAACTATCTCATAAAAAATTAGCTGTTAGAGTGGAGTTGCAGAAAAGAGAGGTTTCCATGGAAGATTTATTATGTCCTCTATGCAAAAAGGAGAAAGAAACAATTCAACATCTATTCATTCTATGTCCGGTTGCCTGGGAGTTATGGAATAGGTTCATCATGATATGGGATGTGTCTACTGTTCTGCCTAAAGATCCTATGTCTTTACTCTGGTCCTGGTCTGTTTTAATGGATTCTTCTTCTATTTGGAAATTTATCCCGGTTGTTGTTTTGTGGTCACTATGGAAGGCTAGGAATTTAGTGGTTTTCGAGAATTGGAACTTTGAGAGCTCTACATTGTTCTTCATATGCATATTCAGGCTGGCAAAATGGTTTTTAGCCAAATTTCCTAAGGCTAATATCCAGGTTGATTTATTAGTTGGGGATCCTCGGCTTGCAGACAGTCTAGCTGTTTTATCTCACAAGAGGAAGATCGATCAGTGTTGGTTTCCACCTCCTCCTGATTTTTATAAATTCAATGTGGATGGGGCGGTTAGAGGTGATGGCTTGCAGGGTGGTACTGGAAATGTACTGAAAGATTCGAATGGCTCTATCTTGATTTCTTTTTCTAAGGCTATGGGACCAGGTCCTCCTTTGCTTGCTGAGTTGAAAGCTATTAAGGAAGGCATGGATTTGTTTCTTAATTCGGGATGGGTGCTGAAGGGTAGACTTATTCTAGAGAGTGATTGTAAAACAACAGTGGATTGGATTTTGAGGCCCCATCGTTTTGTTGTTCTTTGGTTGGGGAATTAGGGGATTTAATTTCGACTAAGGACATTGTGGTTAGGCTGGTCCCTAGGGCTTGTAATTGGGAGGCTGATAAGTTAGCCAAGGAGGGGATTGGTTGAAACGTTCTTTTAGTGTTTTTATGGTTATGTTTAGTCTCTTATTTCGGGTGATGTTGTATTTAAAGTCTTATGTAATTTTGGGTTATTTATATATTGAGGTACTCTTTTCCTCCTTCTACTAATTGCCTCTTCTTAAGAGGCAATTATGAGGGAGGTTTTTAATGAGACCTCCTATTCCTATCAAAAAAAAATTAGAAGATCACATCCTTTATGGAAGTTCTCATATGATTATGAGATGAAAATACCTGTCATGAAGTGCAAACAAAACTCCATCTGATGAGCGAGAGACATCAATTTCAATGCAATCTACTTGAGAACGAAGAGCAAATCCATATGCAGACATCTGGCCAAAATAAAAGAAAAAGAGCAGATGATAAACAGATCAACAAAGAATAATAATAAGATCCTAAAAGCTATGAAATAGCAGGCCCAATTGAAGGTAATTGTAATCTAAATAACCAGTTCATCATGTGCTATAAGGATTTAACTTGTGCTAATCTAGCCTTGGCCAAGCAATATCATAATTTCAAGTTCTAAGGCACAAAAACAGAAGTTGGACAGAATAAACCGAAGGAAACCAGAAACCAGGTGAAATATGAAACAAGACTATTATATCCCCATAAGATATATAAGCAATCAAATTTTATAGATGTTGTTTGTGTCTTTTGAAAGCCACGCAAAATAGTGAACTAAAGCAATTACAGAAAGGAAGAGATGTTTACTGTGTTTGGGAAGGCATTAGTTGAGTCACCACCATGAGCACACACAAGGGGAGGATTGTTCAGCCAACCGCACCTGCTTAATTGCGTCTGCAATATAAAAGCAAAAAATGAAGTCGTACTACTAATTGAGAACCTATTTTTTTTTATAGGAATGGAAGGCCTCGTTAAAAACCCCCTTCTTAATTAAAGGAACTTAGTGGTAAGCTCCTTAATCAGCGGAAGGAGGAAAAGAGTGCCTTAAAAACTTTATTGATAATATAATCTTACATAAGATTTAAACACTACACCACAATACATCCCATAAAACTTAACAACAATTTTCTAATAGACCTTCTCGCTGGACCAGAAAATCCAGTGACAGGTCCTTACAGTCAACCTATCCCTTTCTTAGCTAAGCTATCAGCCTCCCCATTGCTCGCTCTTGGAATCCACCTCACTGAATGAACCTTGCCATTTGAAAGAGTCAAAATCTGATTAACCAAAGACAAGTAGAAAACAGGAGCCAAAGCCGGTGATTTAATCCATTCCACTACCGACTTGTAATCACTCTCAACAATCAATCTCCCAACAGAAACCCAAACTGAAGCCAGAAAAATTTCAATACCCCTTTTAATAGCCTTTAATTCAGCTAGCGGAGGAGTAACTTGGTCTACTTTCTCTGAAAAAGTCAAAAGCGTGCAACACTCCGAATCTCTCAATATACCTCCTATACCTCCACCCGAGCCTCCAAGCCTAACAGCTCCATCAACGTTCATCTTAAGAAAATCAACAGGGGGGGAATCCAACGCAGATTATGACCAACTTTGACTAAAGTTAGAGAAAACCCATCTGCTAGAGATGGATTACCAATCAGCAAATCCTCCTGAATATTAACCGTAGGAAACTTGGCTAAAAACCATTTTGATAGCCTGAATCTAACTGTAAAGAACAGAGACATGCTGTCCAGGTTAGAACCTTCGAACACTATAGCATTCCTGGCTTTCCAGATTGACCAGAAGATAACACCTGGAATAAACTTCCATATCGTCGAGTTTCCCCTCAATTCACCCCAGGAACTAAGCAAAGCAGGAGGGTCTTGAGGAAGAACAAACGAAATATCCCAGAAGCTAGCTATTTTATTCCACAAATTCCAAGCAACAATACAGGAAATAAATAAGTGTTGAACTGTTTCCTCCTGAATCTTGCAGAAAGGACACTGTATATCTTCCCCTAAAGAAACTCCTCTCTTAACCTACTCAGCCTTAACTGCCAATTTCTGATGTGCAAGTTGCCATAGAAAAGCTTCCACTCTCGGTGGAGCCAAACCCTTCCAAACCCTTCCAAACTCCTTGTAGCCACACATCATTACTCCCTACCTCCGAGCCAATGTTTTTCCTGCATGATTTAACCGAAAACAGTCCATCTCCACTAGCAGACCAAGAAAGAGAGTCCTCCACCAGCTCTGACAGTTTGACATCCTTTATTTTTGTCATCAAAGCTAACCACTGGTCCAATTCCCAATCACTCAGATTCCTTCTAGTTTGGACATTCCACTCCCAACCACTCGGTCCATAGCTGCCAAACTCAACAATCTCCCCCCCTTTATTAATGGAAAGCACATAGATTCTAGGAAAAATTATTTTTAGAGGGACCTCATCAGCCCAAACATCATTCCAAAAAGAAATTGATTTCCCATTACCTACTTGCAGCTTCGAATTCAATCTAAGAAAGTTCCCTACCGAATCATTCTTAGAAAAATTATTAGCAATGCCTCTCAAGATCCATGAAGATTTCGGAGAAGTAACCTTTCCAATAGACATAGTGTTCCAACTGATCTTTTGCTTACTACACAACACAGATTTCCAGAGAGTTTTTGTCATTGGCAAATTTCCACACCCACTTGCCTAGTAAAGCCCGGTTAGTAAGATTCAAATCAAGGACACCTAGTCACCACAGTTCAAAGGCCTGCAAACCGTGTTCCAATTTACCCAGTGAATCCTCCGCTTATCCCCCTTCTCACCCCAAAGAAAGTTAGCCATTAAGGAATTAAGCTTCTTTCCGATATTGCACGGCATTTTGAAAAGAGATAGAAAGAAAATCGGCAAAGAGGTTAGCACCGACTTCAACAGAACTGTCCTCCCAGCCAAAGACAGACAGGACGTTTTCCACCCCTCAAGTTTAGAACTAAAATTCTTAAAGACCGGATCCCATAGAGCCTCTGTGTTTTTCCTAGCTCCCAAGGGAAGTCCCAAGTATTCTGTAGGTAGAAAACCAACTGAACATCCCACTTGTTCTGCCCAATCCGATAACACTCCCTCTTCCAAATTGATACCGAACAGCTTACTCTTTGCTAAATTGAGGTGTAAACCTGTCATAATGCTAAAGATCCTCAGCACCCTTTTTACATTCTTGATCTGATTAATAGAGGCTTGACAAAAAATTATTAAATCATCGGCGAATTGTAGATGGGACAGCCTGGTAGAATTTCCAGAATTCCCCATAATAATACCCTGGAATAAACCCCTCTCGATTGCTTTAGAAAGCATCAAGTGTAGCATCTCGCCTATAATGTTGAACAAAAGTGGAGAAAGACTGCAGCCTTGTCTAAGACCTTTTTCCATTGCAAACTCCTCAGAAGGTGACCCGTTAACAAGAATCGAAATAGAAGCTGTAGACAGACATTGAGTAATCCACGATGACCATCTGTTTCCAAATCCCATTTCTTTCATTGCTCTAAACAAAATAGGCCATTCCACAGTGCCGTATGCTCTTCGGAAGTCAACTTTAAAAACTACCCCTTGTAGTCCTTGTTTTCTCCAAAATCAATACCTTCGTTCGCAATGAAGGCGCAATCCAATAACTGTCTCCCCGGAATAAAAGCAAATTGGGATTGACTTATTATGTCGCCAACACAGCCACTCAACCTTTTAGATAATACTTTTGAGAGAATCTTGTATAAACTACCTACAAGGCTGATTGGTCTAAAATCCTCCACACTTTCCGGATTAGTCTTCTTCGGAATGAGTGTAATAAACACGTGATTAACTCCGTGTTCCCATTTTCTACCTATGTAAAAATCCTGGAAAAACTTCAATACATGTTCCTTTAACTGAGGAATAAAATAAATTGACATAATTAGATTCGTAAGAAAAAAGGAAAGAAAAGAATCTTCAACTTAGAATATTCAGAAGCCATACACTTCAATATTTAGAAAAAAATATTTAAATCATTCAGCAGCCTATCCAATATTATATCATATAGCGAACATCAACTAAGTAGAATAACCTTAGTAAAATGTTTGAAAACTGCCTTGTCATTATCATTTAAGAAAATTTAGAAAGAGAACACGCACACAATTATATCAAGTATTGACTTCTACTTTATGTGCGAGTCCTCCATGTGTAGGTTTAACATGAAATTCAGTTAACTCAATCACAGCACTTAACAAAAAGTGTAACCATTTAACAAACAGCCTAAATGATCGTACATTAAGTTGATTGGAGGAAACAAAGGTAACCTTAAAATCTCAGGAATGTTTTTACACCTTTTAATGAATCACAAACAAATTCAACAGACAGGAGGTATAGAAAAGAACAAACAGAGAAGTAACAGAGAAAGCTTAAACAGTTCAAGGGAAAGTAGCAATAACGCCTCAAAGTTTACCACTGAAATAAGCCGCAAGGGCAAAAGAATACAGAAAAGCTGGAAAAAGTGTAAAACAAAAACAAGAAAAAAAATTCCTTAAACCTCAGCCTTTGAGTTAAGAGCACAATATTCCACTGGATCAAATTCTCTACAATATCTCTCACCCCACAAACACCAAAGTAAATAAAATGGCACAATTGTCCAAACTAAGTTGTTCCTGCGTTTGCTAGATACTGCTCTCCAACTAGCCATAATACCTACCACCATCTTCACCATGACTAAATGAAAGGAAAACAAAACATAGATATAACTTCTGAAGCAATTACGCATTTATATGTTCATATGTTTCATTTATAATAATAGTAATTAGATTAATATATATCAAATCAAATATTTGTGGCATGGGAAACATTTTCAGATGGTTCAGTCGCAAATAATTAATAACACATTCATAAAAGAAATTAACTGCATTTCCAGGGTACATAATGAAAGATATTACACAAGCTCGGATTTTTAGAAGCAAATATACATACATAGTTACACAAACACACACACACACAATATATATATATATATATATATATATATTTGATAATACATACACACACACATATATATTGCAAAAAAACATATCTCTGAATTGAAATTATAGCACCAGTTTCTCAACATTTGCTACAATGAATCCACATGTGAAAAAAAAAATCCAATAATGCAATTAATTTAGAAAGCCTTCAAGTTTCCAAAGTCAACGTCATCTAGCGAGGAATTTCAAAATAAAATTAAAAAAATCAAATCAAATTAAATGGAAATAATTGCTCGTAAACAATCACATCTTGAATTTAAAGGAGAGAACTCCTATCCTGATCAAAAGTAGAAAAACAGCGAATTCGGAAAATTAAGGCGTTGGGATTGGAACCTGATGGAAACGGCAGAGCCTGAAGTGGAAGAAAAGGGGAGGCAAAATGGCGACGAAAGCAAGAATAAGGATGAAACGAAGCCTTGAATAGAAAGAAGAAAATCTGAACAGAGGGGTTCCATGGCCGCGCCTTCTTCCTACTGGCGGTTTCATTTCTACTATTAGTACGTACGATTCCCACCAAATTATTTTATAATATATAGGCTCTGGGTTCTGGGCTGTGTGGCTGCAGGCCCAATCACATAGTACAAAACAAAGGATTTTTTTCCACACCTACCATTTCACTCATTTTCTTCCTGGTTCCATCCAAATTTTATAAATTTCATTCATTTCTACGCTATTCTTTACTCTTTCTCGATTTTTTATTGGAGGTTTTGCTGGTCACAAACTGGTTGGCTATCCCAGTCCCGCCATAATTCTTTTGAAAGAACTTCGCAGAATCACAACAATTGGAGTATTTGTTAAAGTGCTAACAACCGCACAGAGAAGATCTGAATGCCTCCAATGGCTACATTGCTGATCAGATTAAAAAATATAAAGGTTAGTTCATCACCATTAAGCCTTCTCTTCGAAGAAGGAATCAAAGTTCGATAGAATTCACTAGTAGCTGAATTTCAATGTAAAAACCGAAACTTACTTTGCAAAGTCTTCTGGCTTCTTGCTCAGGCCAAATGGATTGTATCCATAGCTAAATGAACATATGCACGTTAAAGATAAATTATTTTATCCAATGAATAACTTTGCACTTCTCATGTCATGTAACTTAATTATAATACTCACTCTCCGGGCACTTCTCCGGTCAAGTACGCTGGGATCTCCGATCTGTCCAGCAGACCTTCCGGCAAGAAAATTCTTCTGTCGGGACTCGGGACCTGTTGAAATATAAATGCATGTTTTCATTTTTTTTGTACAATTTGCTTATTTATATACGCAAAACGATCTGATTCTGGTAAGTGCACTCCATTGCACTTACCGTACCACTTAGCCAGCTCTTCATCGGCTGGGGCGACGGAAGCAAGCCTTGGGCTTCAGAGGTGCGGCCTTCTTTTTGGAGAAAAGAGCGACGGTCTTGAGAGCGACGGTCTTAAGAAGAACTTGTTCAACCCTTTTCCAAATTACATCACAGAATGAGATATTATCATCCCAGCGGAAAGTTCATAATGAGAAGAACTTATCTGGAGAAAGAGAAGAATTTATTCAACATCTCCATATTAATCAAGTGAATTCAAATGGAAAAAAATATTATTATCTTTTCGTCTTTGCTCTATTCTTGTTAACACGAGAATGAGCAAAGAGGGGTAGCTGAAGATACTATTTTTTCTCCATTTCTATTATTATTATTATTATTTTATTTATTATTATTAAAATTATTATTACAAACAGGCTAAGTCCGGCCCAACCCAGACAGACCCAAATACGGTGGCCCAGACCTAAAGGCCTAAATGTATAACCTTAAACCCGTTTAGGGTTTATATCTCAGCCCCAGCCGCTATCAGCTATCCATCGTTGGATCTGGCATGATCCAACGATCCATACGCGTTCAGATGATACCAACAGCAAACCCTAGGGTTATGATACCCTAGGGCCATGACGCCGGCCGCCTCTCTGACACCTCCATCAACCGCTGCCACGCTTCAACAGAAACATCCAGAGGAAGCAAGGAACACCGTCCACGTTTCAACCATGGGGTGAGTCACCACCTACGGTTTAAGAGTTTAAATTGAAAGTTAATAATCAATTCAAGTCGATCGGACGGACCGGGTGACTTGAATATATATGAAATGGTTTTCGAAATTTCCCTTAAAATCTTCTAACCCACTCTCGACTCTCTTCCGACGTCCCCGCCGCCAAACAAGCCTCTCCTCCTCCTCCGGCGGTCCCTGACCCAAGTTTCCGACATATTAGGAGATTAAATAAGGTAATTTTTGAAATCCTAATCTTGAAGATTGATTCCTACTTGAGTCATGGGAATTTCGGTTATCTTTTTACTGCATCTGCATCACTCTACTACATTTAGTTTTCTGTTTTTCGATCTACTGCTTGTTATTCTGTCTCTTCAATACTCCCTCTCTGTTTACTTTGTTGAGAAGGAGAATTTATTTAGAAGCAAGTATTATTTTATTTTGTTCTTTTATTTTATTATTTCTGCTGAATGCAGCAAGTATTATTTTATTTGAGTACTTTATAGGGATTTTGGGCAGCATAACACAAACTTGGTGCGGTGCTGCCTCTGCTTGGAAGCAACTGTTCTGTTGGAGAAGCCTATCTTAGTTCCTCGATAATGAACAAGCAGCTGCAACAGATCATCCATATTCCACCCAACCCACCTGTTTCCCCTACCCGCCAACCGACCGGTGAGTTCATCAATTCTCATTTCCCTTTTTTGTCTTTTCATTTTCCTTTTCTTATTCTTTAACTGACGTATGCATTATACAGAAAAAGTTTATGCTTCCTTAATTGAACCGAAACATGCCAATACTGTTATAAGGTAATATTATTACCACTTCTCTTATTGTTGTTGGTGTTATGATGATGGTGGAGTGAATTTAATAAGCAATACTAATAGTACTTTCCTTGAATGGAATCGAACGGAACGGGAATGATAGGCGACTTAATCAGATTGCACCGCTTCAAAATCTCCAGCATTTGAAGAGGATTAACAAAAAGCAAGTCCAAGGGGGTTAATATCTGTTCTTACATAATTGTACTTTGAATTTTTCTCCTTTCTTTCATTTCCAATACTACAAGCCTTCATTCAAATCTTCATAATGAATCATATCAGGTGTATTCAATTTCTTTTTTGAGTATATGTTTGTGACAATTGCCTTATGTGACAGGGAAACCAGAGTTGTTTGTCATATTATGTTTGGCTTCTGAAAATGAAACACAATCCAATACTATGCCACCGGGTGTGGAAGATGTTGTCAATTCCTACAACTTGACTCCTTTTATTACCGAAGTGGGTTTTCTTCATTTGTTTTTCATATTGTAACATTGTTTGACCTAAAACCCATTTTATGTATAACGGAGGTGTGAAATATCAACAATTGATTGAAAAGTCTTAGCTTTCTCCTTTTATAACTTTTTTTGTTTCCCTTTCGGTGCTCTCTATGTTTTTTGGTACATGTGTGTGCACCTCTATATGTGTGCCTCTCTCTATATGTGTTTCCGCTCACTTTGTCACCGTATGCTGTTATTACCTTTTCCATTGCTACATTATGTTCATTTATGTTATTTCATATGTCTGCTCTTCTTTTTTCTCATTCTTCTGTTAGAGATTTCATATAACTGAAGTCATGGAAGTTGGAAGTTTTATTGAACAATTTGGTCTTTTCCATGGCATCTTCCTTTAAAATATTTACATTTGTAGCTTCCTTTACTGAGGCATGGCTTTTTGGATCTGCGTCAAGTTAGTTTGTGTTTTACATGTACCTAAATGACTTTTAGGTTTGCAAACATGTTGCATTATCAAAGGAGGAGTGGGAAGAACAGTGCAAATTGTGGCCAACGTCATATCATCCACCAACCTAGTAAGCTCTACATCTTTGGTTTACATTTTTTTGGAGTTAGATTCAGGTAGCCATTAGTTATAAATTCTATAAAACATTGATATGATGCTGAGAAAGGGTATGCAACTGATAGCCATTATTTTGAAAGGGTATGAACTGTGAAGAGGTGCATGATGTCCAGTTTAAATATTTAATCATTTAGGGACCTGTTGCAAAATTGAGGTCTAGGGTTTTTGGGTTCAAGTCTTTTAGTTATATGAAGCGTTTGTCCCTTGGAAAGTTGCCATGGTCCAAATGTTTGCTTTGACGTTTGGGATGTACTAATTAATTCCACTAGTAAGATTAAAACATAGTATTAAATTTTAATGAGAAGCTCTAAAAAGGTGTTCAATCTAGAAAAGAAAAATAGATAGAAATTATTACTTAGAGGAACTCCCTGGAAATATAAATGTTGCGAACTACAACAATTTCATTAAGTACCGAAAAAATATGTTCTTTGTTAGTGTGAAGCAATATTCTAAAATATTTTTGTTGTATTTTTTTATTTGTTTTATTGATTCATAAAAATTCTTTGCACGAGAGAACAAATATAATAGGATGGGAAATGATGTTCATGTATTTATTCAAACAAAGAGGTATACTAGTGGATTATAATCACTATGTAAAGACTGGATTCGATTGCATGGGAAAATTTTTGAATGGCATATTGTGCATTACCATTCATTGGTGGGCCTTTAGAGTTGTAAATTGTGTTTGGATTCTGAAATGCTTAGTATAGTTATTGGTGGTGCTGAAGTTATTTGTCTCAGTTATATTTCTCTTGCAACTGCCACTATCTGTATTACTTTCCTTATATGCTTGCTTTTTCTCCCTTTTGTTCCATTTGCAGCAATATTAATGGCATTACAGGGTTTAATGAAGAGGATTCTAAATCAGTTTTCAGTTTTATGAAGTCCACAATAGAGTTGGCGAAATATGGTGATCATTTGGTAATTATTTAATTATTTTTCTTAGCACTGGTTTTATTTTTTAAGGATATGTATGAGATACTGGAATGCATCAACTCCAGTCCATTTACAGTAGCAGAATCTATACACTGTCTAAATAGCTTCTATAAATTAGAGTATAAGGATTGATATATTGTAATTTCTAGTAGGTTAATGGTATTTGGGTTGTGTTATAGAAGTGGACTTAGCTATGACATAGGATTATAAGGAAATCAAACACATTGACCAACAAAAGAAAAAGGAGCTTCTTTGCTTGATTATATTTATGAAGCTTATTTTATATACACACAGGTACAAAGATAAACACTCATAGATATTGTGCCTTACCTTGCTCATGCGAGTGCCTTTTCTCTTGCCTTGTGCCTTGAGCAATATAACGGTTCTAGTGCCTAGAATTTGTCTTTCACCCTAAACAAGAATGTGCTAGAATAACCTCTATAATGCTTATGCTTTATGTTGCAGAAGGATCAAGGAAAAAAGGACCTAGTGTTCTGCCTTTGATAGGATCATAGGACTATACAGGGGGTAGTACTGTTATACGCTCATAGATATGGTGCCTTACATTGCTCATGTGTGTGCATTATCTTGTGCCTTGCATCTTGAGCAATATAAAGGTTCTAGCACCTAGATTGCCGTGCACCCTAAACAACAATGTGCTAGAATAATCTCTGTAATGCTTTATGTTGCTGAAGGATCATGGAAAAAAGGACCAAGTGTTCAGCCTTTGATAGGAGTTTATGGAAACTTCTATCTTTATACTTGGTTTTATATATCTTTAAAAAATATTTGTTTTGCTTTTGCTTTTGTTGAACCTCCTTTTATGATATGTTGTTCTGCTAAAACCTAAGAGTTCACCACAAAAGAGATTTGATGCATGTAATAACTAATGAATTATGTATTGCTTCTTATGAAGTTACCATTGAGATATAGTTTTGTAGTTCTTTTAATTCCTGCTCTATCATATGGGTTTGTCAATTTTCAAATATTAATATGTTCACATGGTTGAAAAGAGAAACATGAGTGAGAAAGTTAGAGAGAGAGTGAGTGAGATATCGAAGGGTATTGGTTCTTCAGCCAGAGGTTTAGCTGTGCATGGAGGTGTATCGTGGGTAGCATTCGTAGACAATCTTAGTAGGAGAGTGCATAGGAGTGTTTTAAGGGAGCGTTTTAGTTATTGTGGCAATGTGATTAAGGTGTTCATTCCTTTAGTTAATAGGAGACCGAATTACAAAGATAATACGTTTGCTTTCGTGCACTTTGCAAGCAAAAAGGTTTGCTTAATGAAAAGGAAAGGATGAATAATGTCCTCGTCGATGAGAGGAGAATATCAGTGTCGATCGCGAAATATCAGAGGACTGGTATTTCGAGGAGCTTGAAGTGTAATAGTGTGAAGGGGTCTAGAGAGGCAGGCGCAGGAGAGTCGACAGAGAGAAGGTCATTATTTCCAGTTAATGCTGCTGGGAAAAAGGAGCTGCTGAACAGGTTTCATGATGGTAGGACTTATAAGGATACGGTAATGGGCGTGAAGAATGTTGAGAGCAAGAGAGTGGGCAGCCCTGGAGACAAGAGGGAGGTGAAGAAGCCTTTGGAAGTTTTTATTCCAATGGAGGAAAGGACATGGCTAAGATCGTCCTTAACAGGTATTTGCAAGGCGTCTTTCGAAGTTGAATTTGTGCAGAGGGTATTAAGGAACGAGGGAATCAATGTCAAGGTGATATGGTGGGTTTATGCAAAAAACGTTTGTTTAATAGTTTTCCAGTCCGTGGAGGAGAAAAATGCCACGATGGAAGTCAAGTGGGAGGCACTGTCTTATTGGTTCGAAAGGCTAGAGCCTGTTATGGACGAGAAGTGTGTCTCATTACCTTACTATGTTGTTTCTATGATTGGTGTTCCGTTAAACTGCTGGTCAGTATCATTCTTCACAAGTTTGGCATCGAGATGGGGTAAGCTAGAGAAGATTCAGGAGCAAACAGTTCAAAGAGTAGATTGCAGAGTGGCTCATATATTGTTGAGGGTTGAGATTCCATTCGATATTCCTCCCCATGTCACAATTAATACGTATGGAAGGTCGTTCACTATTAAGATTAAGGTAGAAGGAAGTGAAGATTTCTTCCCTGAGTTAGAAGATGTCGTTGAAGAAGACGGAATAATGGAGTCTTGGGAGGAGAACCCGTCGGACGGAAACCAAGGAGATGGGCAGTTGGGCAAGTATGTGTTGTCAGAATCCAATAACAGGGTAGAGGCATAGGTCCGGGAATCTCCACAAGGGGGTGACACGCAGATCGAGGGGTGTGTGAAAGGAAAAGTTGAATTAAATAATATCTTGGGTGTTGATTTCTGTTCTGTGTAGATAGTACGAGGTGATGTCCCAAGTTAGCAGAAAATGGTGGGGGTTTGTATTGAAGGGAGAGAAAGGGAGTGGAGCATGGGGGTGACACCTTGGGGCAGGAAAAGGTTATCCAAGATAGTGGGCTCAATATCAGCATGTGCAGGCTAGAGATGAGTGGGCCTGATCAAGGAAGTCCAAGAGCAATTACAGGTGATAATAAGCCTGCAGAGGGGAATAATGCGGATCAAGCTACTCGCTCAAGAAGCATTATTAATCATAGGAAATTAAGGATTGCTCCAAGTTGTTCTGGTAGTGTTTGTTCGGAGGGTGAAGCTTCTATTTGCTTTCACGATAGTTTATAGAGGGTGGATAGAGGTGTGGTCAGGGAAGCTTTGGATCAAGACAGTGCTACGTCAAAGTATTCCAACCAAACTGTAAAAGCAAGGAATGAAGCAGTTGCTACTAGGGAGGTTTGTGATTTGTTGGGGATTTCTTTTAAAGGGGGGCAACAGTTACTAGAAGAGGAGATCATGAAGATGGAGTTGGAAGGGTTTATAAAGGGATCTTGAGTGTTGGTATCTGGTTGATAAGGGGTTTCTGTCATACAATTCAAATGTCACGACTTAAAATGATTTCTTGGAATGTTAGGGGTCTTGGGAAAGAGGGAAAAATTCGAGCAGTAACTAGACTAGTTAGTAAAGTCAAACCGGTCATTTTGCTTCTACAGGAAACTAAATTGAATAATTGCCAAAATGGAAAATGGAGGAAGCTGGGGGGGCAATTTTCTGAATGGTAGAAGCTTTCAACTAGCTGATGGGTATGCAGGTGGCTTAATTTGTTTGTGGAATGAAAAATTCTTTGAAGTCACCATAGAACACAGAAACAATAGATTCATTGCAATATCAGGGAAGTTCAAGGCAGTTAACTGTGACTGTGTCATTATTAATGTGTAAGATCCGTCGGTAGAGGCTGATAAGGAGGTTTTTTTCAGAGAATTGATGAGTTTTGTGCTTAGTTTAGACTTGCCAGTATGCTTAGGGGGGATTTCAATGCTTATCTAGATCCAGAGGAGAAAATTGGAGTGGCTCAGAATTGGCATTCTATGGATTTATTTTCTCACTTTGTCCAAAATCTAAATCTTATGGATCTCCCGCTAGTTGGAGGAAAATTTACTTGGTGCAATAATAGGGAGTCTTCCACTTGGATAAGACTTGATTGGTTTTTAATTAATGGTAGCTTCCTCCATTGTTTTCCAAAAGTTACTCAAAAAATGCTACCAAAATCCCTATCTGATCATAACCCAGTGTTGCTTGAAGAAGAATTCAGAAATTGGGGACCTAAACCCTTTCGATTTTTCAACTACTTGTTAGAGGAAGATGGCTTTGCTGGGATGGTTCAAAATTCTTTTACTAATTTGAATAAGGTTAATGGTCGAAGGGGTTTATTTAGCATACTTCAAGGAAACCAAATGGGTATTTCCGAACAGATTTCAGAATTGGAAGCCCGGATTAATGATTTGGAATTGAAGTCACAAGGTGGGGGGTTTTCTTCACAAGATTGGGATCAACTACTGATTTTGAGGAATGATCTGTGGAAATTGCATAGGAAGGAGGAAAATATATGGCTTCAGAAGTCAAGAATGAAATAAATTAAGGATGGGGATAGAAATACGAGGTTCTTTCATTTATGTGCTCTGAATAGGAACAGAGTAAATGCCATTTCGGCATTGAAAGTAGCTGGTGAAGAAATTACGGATCCGATTCAGATTAGAGTTGTTATCTCGGATTTTTTCAAGGACAATTATAATGCAAAAACAACACTGGAGGTGGACGAACTTAATCTGAATTTTGCTAAATTGACAGATGAGCAAAAGGCTAGTCTAGAAGTTGAATTTTCTAAACAGGAAGTGTGGGAAACTATTTTTTATTCTGACAGTGCCAAGGCACCTGGACCGGATGGTTATACTATGGGATTTTCTAAAAAATTCTGGCCTATATTGAAGGATCATATTATGAAATTTGTTCATGAATTTCACAGAGGAAGGAAATGGGATCATGGGGTTAATCATTCCTTTATTACTCTTATCCCCAAGAAACTGAATCCTGAGGGAATTGAAGATTTTAGACCTAAAAGCCTTGTTGGCAGCTTATACAAAATCATTTCCAAAGTGCTGTCGAAAAGGCTGGTTGCAGTTATTAATGGCATAGTAAGCCCTTCGCAGTTTGCATTTATTCCGGGTAGACAATTGTTTGATTGTGCTCTTTTGGCTAATGAAGGCATTGACTATTGGAGGAAACAAGGGAGGTATGGAGTTGTATTCAAAATTGACTTCCGTAGGGCTTATGATTTGGTTGAATGGCCAATTTTACTGAGAATTCTGAAGGTTATGGGTTTTGGTGATAAGCGGATTTCATGGATTGAATGTTGTGTTTCTTCAGCCTCAATTTCGGTGTTAGTGAATGGGTCTCCAACAGAGGAATTTACCATTAGTAAAGGGTTGAGACAAGGCTGAAATTTGTCCCCTCTTTTGTTTAATATAGTTGGGGAGCTTCTAAATTTAATGTTGATAAAGGCTGCTGATTTGGGTCTGTTTGAAGGGTTCAGTATTGGTAGGTATGATAATCCCTTCCACCTAACTCATCTTCAGTTTGCA